TACTCAGACTCCTCCAGTAACAAACAGAAAAGGAAGAAGGGCTGAGCCTATAGAGAAGAGGAAAATGTCTTCATTTCAATCTCTTACATTTTAGTAACTTTTAATAACTGCACTCAGCTTTCCTGACACTCTCAAGAATATGCAGGGGGGTGGGTAAACAGTTAAAATGACTTGAACAATGATCTGGACAACTGAAGTTTCATGTAATTAGGAAAAGCTACTTTTAGACCATAGCTTAATTGCATATCCTTTCAGCACCAAACCTTTCCCAAAGGTATGAAAAAAGGAACGTAGCCAACCAAAATGAGTTTTCTGATCCATCTATTCCCTTGATTCAGCTCAAAACCAGTGTGTTAGCTCTGCCAGGCAGCAGGAGGGCGCAGCAAGCAGGTAATCACCTGTCAGAGGATACTCAGTCTCTGACCAGTAAGGAAAGAAGGGAGGTCCTTTCTCTCTGAATTCCTCCTTTTGTGGGTTCATTTAGAAAGCCAAGGCTGAATCAGATTTTTCGGCACAAAGGAAACCTCTGAGAAGGTGGAGCAGCCAGAGGGTCAGAACCTAGGTAAGGAATGTCTATGATTCACTCCTGATAGTTCCTCTTTCCAAATGCCACACCCCAGCCTACTACGGGACCTGAGAACAAAGTTCTCTGTGAGTCTGGAGAGATTTTGCATGGTGGGAATGAACAGCATACACAAAGGGCTGCTTTCATGTCCACCGCAGACTCCAGTAGCTCTGAGTCCATGCAAGAGATCCCACAAAGGGTGAGGGAAAAAGGACTCAGGGAACGAAACAGAGGGGCTGGGTTCTAGCATTTGCTGAGGGACACTGAGAAGCTTGGCTCCTCTAGGCCTCCATTTCCTCACCTGGAACTGATTCCTGCCTCACCTTCCACAGAGGGCTTGTTTTGGAGATTAGGCAAGATCATGAATGCACAAAGCACTCCACAAACCTAATACTTGTTATAAGAAAAATTTTTAACAAGAAATGCTTTCTCTGGTTTCTGACCACGTGAGTCATTTCGATGTTGTGGTTTGGGGGTTTTTAGACAAGAAACAATACAGACAGGCAAGCTTCGATGGAGTCGAGCTCTCAAGCAGCAATGACTTCCACTTGCCTGGCCACTCACTACCTCGAACATCCACACACCTAGCAAATCCACAAGGCAACAAAATCATGGGGCTTGACGGACAGAGACAGCCATTGCTTTCCAAATCAGACTGTTGTCTAGAAAACTCACAAGAAAAGCCAGGTTGTTCCTTGCCAGGTCCTTAAACTTAGAGATATAATTTCTATCGACATCCTCCTTAGAAAAAAAATTCCACCCAAAAATATTACTTTGGGGGTCTTGCTCAGTTTATTATATTAGTCATTCAGAAACCTGTACTCACTGTAGAGAGGCACAGAAAACAAACCTCTAAGCCATGAGAGCTTAAGTATATCACCGACACATAATGGACAAGGACAGAGTCATGCTGTCTTCATCAAGGTAGACGGTCTCCTGGGCTGGAAGCAGAAAGAGCCATACTAGGTACCAGAGGGAAATAGAACATATGCTCTGGCACTCTCTTCAGATGTGTTAAATTAGAATAGATAAGGTGGGGAAAGGCAAAAGAGGGGCATTGTATTGATAGACTCCTGCTGGCCAGGGAAAGGAAGGCCCTGGCATGACACCCCTCCCACTCCTAGGGCAGAAGACTGTTTGGCATACTGAATCACACAGCTGCATCTTCACCCTGTACACTCACTTAGGATTCTCATTTGGCTTCCGGGTAATCTGCCTATGAGAAAATCATACCTAGTCACACTGCACAATGCTTTCTGATCCCCATAGTACGTCTATTTTTCACAGTCAATGCATACAGTAGCGTTCTAGTTTATACATCAGTCTCTTGTAAGCTTAGTTATTGTGAATCTATTCCTGAGAGACTCAATCCATTCTTATTTAATAAGTATATTAAAATAACCAACTATCTGCATCCATCAGGCTAAATTACAGACAGAACTGGTGGTGTGACCATGGTGAAGCCAGGTGTGAGAACTCCTGGCTGCCTGATAGTTATTTTCTGTCAGAGACTCACTGGCAACCTCAAGTCCCCTTCAAACCACTTGTTCTGGAAGAGGAGATATAGCATATCTTATTTGAACATAAGAAAGCGTATATTATAATGGACACATGCCTTTCCAGTTTTCTCTCATCAAAGTCATTCCTGAGGCTCCTCTCTGCCTTGTCAACAATCCTCTTACTATTCTTTTTCTTCTTTTTTGAAACAGAGTCTTGCTCTGTTGCCCTGCCTTGAGTGCAGTGGTATGATCTCAGCACACCGCAACCTCTGCCTCCTGAGTTCAAGTGATTCTCCTGCCTCAGCCTCCTGAGTATATAAGCACTGGGATTATAGGCACACAACACCACACCTGACTAACTTTTTCTATTCTTAGTAGAGACGGAGTTTTACCATGTTGGTCAGGCTTGTCTTGAACTCTTGACCTCAAGTGATTCACCTACCTTGGCCTTCCAAACTCTTACTATTCTTAACACTTTATATTAACAGGCATTGTAGGCCAAGCATGGTAGCTCAATCCTGTAATCCCAGCACTTTGGGACGCCAAGGCTGGGGGATCACCTGAGGTCAGGAGTTCGAGACCAGCCTGGCCAACGTGGTAAAACCCCATCCAACTCTATTAAAAATACAAAACTTACTGGGTGTGGTGGTACAAGTCTGTAGTCCCAGCTCCTCAGGAGGCTGAGGCGGGAGGATCACTTGAATCTGGGAGGCAGAGATTACAGTAAGCCAAGATCATGCCACTGCACTCCAGCCTGGGTGACAGAGTGAGACTATCTCAAAAAAACAAACAGAAAGCTACTGTAGAAGTTCCCACTAAATAATTAGAGCAATAGCCATTTGCTGAATATTTCCATCAACATGTTATTTTGTTTAAGCCTTACTACAACCTACTAGTCAAGAATTATCATTCCTAATTTATAGATTAATAAAAAAAAGCAAGGGAGGCTCAGAAAGTTGAAGGAGGTTAAATAAGGTCACACATGGAGCAAACTGTGGAGTCAAGATTGGAAGCAGGCAGGTCTGCACATCCTACACCCAGCACGTCCTAAACTACTAACAATAACCAGTTCTCTTTCCTGCTTATTTCATGGAACTAAATGCTAAGTTATGTAACCCTCTTTCTGTCTTTGCGCATATGTGCCCAGGAGCTCTGATTTCTTCCCTTGTGCCACCATTGGAAATACACAAAACAAACCTTGAATTTGGCCCTGTCCCACCAGGGCTCAGAAGACTGAAGCTCAACTTTACACAGCTCACGTTACTATTCTTTTCTTACAGCTATTCATCCTGTCCCGATTGTCTGCTGTAGTTTGGGGCTATTTTTGGCCTTTATTTTTTCACGAGAGTGCATATGATACCATGGAAACCAAAATATATTTTCATTTATTCTCATTCTATTTTAGGTTCAGTATTTAAATAACCCAGATGAATTTTGAATCAGACAGATTATCGTATCCTCTTCAACTACTGATTTAACCCCCTACCTCCCCAGCAGCAACCCGTGTTTAATTTCTTGTTTTAGTTTCTAACCGGCAAGCTACTGACAGTGTGCTTTGGGTTACTGTACATTCAATTTCCTTTGGGTTCCAGAGAACACTGCTTATCATTTACAGTGAAGATAAGCACTATCATCATGTTTCTCAGCCAACCCACGCTTCCCTTCCTTTCCCTGTAGTGCAAATCCATTGATAAAGAGAGCAGCAAGATAAAAGAATATTTTAGCAATCCACCCCCCTTTCACATCAGTTCTCTAAGAACCGGGGGTTGAGAAGCGTATAGAAGCAATGATGTTTAATGTCCCTAGGCTGACATTTAAGGATATAGAGAGAGTGAACATGTTTGATTGCTACTTTAACAAGGTGGGAGAAGGGTTTATTTTATTTTTTAAATTTGTTATAATTTTAATAAAATTTCTTTCTGCATATCTTAGTAAGAGGTTGTTTTTTTTTTAAATTTCAATATGTATACATTCTATTTTAAGTAAATAATTCCCTACTGACAAGTATTTCAGATGTTCCCAACACCCCACCATTACAAGCTATGCTAGCATGCAGCAGTAATGACAGCAAACGCTCATATAACCTGTCTCTTCATGTCTCAGATGCTGCTCCAAGTGCTTTGCAGACAGTGTCTCAATGAATCACCACAAAACCATATGAGGTACATACAACTGTCATCATCTCCACTCTCAAGAGGAAACTAAAGTACAGAGAAGCTCTGTATTTTGTCCGAGGTGATAAAGCAAGTAAGAGGTGGAGCTGAGATAGGATGGAACCTAGGCTGTCTGATAGGCCTGAGTATGCCTCTATGCTACTTCCATGGCAAGAGTCTGATGGAGCCTTAGGCTGCATGAGTACAGGGCTGCACATCCATTACATGAGGGTAGGGACTCCTGTCCGGACCCCTCACCCCCACCCTACAGCAGTATCCTAGCACCTGGAACAGCAGCAGGCACATGGTATACATTCTAGAAATAATGTATTGAGGTGAATAAGTAAATACATGAAAGAATGATTCCTCTCAAATCAAAGTTGGGAATAACACATTTACCTAGTACTATCCATTCTGCTGGGGGCATTTTGCTCTGGAATGCTGATGTCACTGTGTTAGGGAACACGCGTTAAATCTCTAAATTGAAGTTTGGGCCAATGTTTGTCCCTTCAAAATTCCTTTTGCTAACGATTTTAAAGAGAAAGGACACTGGCAATGCATGTAGCCAAGCAAGTGTGCAGAATTACTGGTACCTTTAAGCCCCTAGGTGGTGGCTTGGCTTCGGAGGAAGGGAAATCGATCCTTCCCTTCATGTTTAAAAGCACTGTAATTATCTCAGTTGCTTTGAAGCCAGTAAAAGGTGGAAAATAAATATTTCAGAAGCACATTTAATAGGAGACATAAGCAACCCCTCCCAACAAACAAAAAAAGGTGTACGTCTACCTGTTCTGAAAAAAACTGGAAGCCCTTGTCCTCCCGAATACATTCGTACGTTTCTCCCAGAACCGGATTAAATGGCTTGCTCCCAGCTCGGTAGTAGCTAGACGCATACGCTGATATGGCAAAGGCTGCCACATACACCTAAGTACAAGAAGGAAAGAGCTTTGTCATTTCTGTGTCACCAAGAGCTTTATTGTCCACAAAGAACTAAACAAAATAAAACCTCTATGATTTTCTTTCAGAAAGCCAAAGGTTTGTCTTTGCTTATTTAAAAATAGGTTTAAAATTATAGGTTTAAATAATGTTTGTTTGGGCCACAAAACAAATTAACCCAATGTTTTAAAGCTGTCCATTTATCTTGATGCCTAAAAGTTGGGAGATGCTATCAAGATGGTGACATTTCCAAAATGGAATACACCGTTTTTGGAAACTGTTAAGCTGAGTCCTGTGCTTTTAAGCCTGACATTATCTGAGGATCCTGATACGGTGCTGAGGCTTTAAGGGTGGAGTGGGAAAGAGTATTAAAAAAGGAGTATTAAAAAATCCCTCCCAAACTCAGGAATAAGCATCATAAATTTAACCATTCAAAATGTCGTATGATAGAAACCAAAACATTCATTTTGACCATAGAAAATCTGTGAGTCATTTCTAAGCCTGGGAAACCTGCCACAGGATACAGTGACTTTAAAGTTCTGCTTTTCTGGGAAGAAAAATGAAACATTAAAAAATAATAATAAAAATAGAGGAAGGAAGAAAAAGTTTGTATGAACACAAAGTGAGCAAACTCTCTGGGGGCCCTCCCTGTGAGGTCTTGGCGTCTTTAGCAGCTCACCGTCAGGGCACCAAAGAGGCACATTACCTTCTTTGTCTTTTTTTCCATGTGTGTGAAAACAGTTAAGCCTAAGCAGCGATGGCAAATTTTCCTTTCTAATATCGGGTAGTAACAATCTCAAGATTTCTTCCCAGAACATTTTATGCAGTTTCTTATACTGAGGATGAGATGAGTACCCTTCATAAACGCTCACTAATCACATAACCTTCCTTTTTAACCTTCTGCTAAATTTTTGGTGTTGCCTGTAACAGGGCCCACCTCACCACCTCACACTGTATTCTACAGGCTGTAATCCCAGCACTTTGGGAGACCAAGGCAGGCAGATTGCTTGAGCCCAGGAGTTCAAGGCCAGCCAGGACAATATGGTGAAACCTCTTCTCTACAAAAAAATACAAAAAACATAGGTGGGTGTGGTGGCACATGCTTGTGGTCACAACTATGTGGGAAGTGGTAAGTGAGAAGACTGACTGAGCCCGGGAGGTCGAGGCTGCAGTGAGCCGTGATTGTGCCACTGCACTCCAGCCTGGGTGACAGAGCAAGACCCTGTTTCAAAAAAAGAGGAAGAAGAAGAAGAAGAAAGAAGAAAGAGGAAGAAAGAAGAAAGAAGAAGAAGGAGAAGAAGGAGAGGAAGAATAAGAAGAAGAAGAAAGAGGAAGAAGAAAGAAGAAGAAGAAAGAAGAAGAAAGAAGAAGAAAGAAGAAGAAGAAGAAAGAAGAAGAAGGAAAAGGAGAAGGAGAAGGAGGAGAAGGAGGAGAAGGAGAAGGAGAAGGAGAAGAAGAAATCAACTGCAACACTCAAGCCAGTCCTACTTGTGACTGTGTTCTTGAAACCTGCATGTCTGTTCCTCTCCCTGCTTCCCTATGTTGGCGACCTGTGAAACAGTACAGCCACACTGTGTATGGAACGCTGAATCAACCCTGAATCACCTTCACCATGTAAAATATAACACAACCAATGAAAGAACCCAGTGCTATTCATGATACTGTGGGGAAGACAGAGTGAGGGAGAGGCAGAAGGAAGCACTCTCCCTGTGGGTTGGTGGCATGAGGGAGAGTCCAGGCAGGCGTATAAGGAGACCTGCGGGACAGTAAACAAAACCCATGAGACAAGACTCCTACTTAGTGGTTATGCTGGGGATGAGAAGCCTCTCCTCAAACCTCTGCTCAAGGTCAATTACCACAATCAATCAGCTGAATATCCTAAGGGTCTCTAAATTGCCACAGCAAGAAACATCTTTAAGAAACTTTCATCCTCAAAGCCAATCATTTCCTTTAAAGAAAAGAGCTACCCACAAAAGCTGACTTTTATAACACTTGCCTTAGAAGCTATTTTTTTTCTTTTTTGAGACAGTCTTGATCTGTTGGCAGGCTGGTGTGCAGTGGCACAATCTTGGCTCACTGCAACCTCCACCTCCCAGGTTCAAGTGATTCTCCTGCCTCAGTCTTCCCAGTAGCTGGGACTACAGGCACACGCCACCACGCCCAGCTAATTTTTGTATTTTTAGTAGAGATGGGGTTTCAACATGTTGGCCAGGATAGTCTTGATCTCTTGATCCACCTGTCTTGGCCTCCCAAAGTGCTGGGATTACAGGTATGAGCCACCGTACTCTGCCAACACTTGCCTTAAAAGCTATTTCTAGAAGCTTTGCCTTCCTTTTATTCAGCAAAAATTATCTGGGGAGAAGTAACAAAGAAGAGTTTAAAAAATACAGGCCGGGCGCGGTGGCTCACGCCTGTAATCCCTGCACTTTGGGAGGCCGAGGTGGGTGGATCACGAGGTCAAGAGATGGAGACTATCCTGGTCAACATGGTGAAACCCTGTCTCTACTAAAAATACAAAAAATTAGCTGGGCATGGTGGCGCGTGCCTGTAATCCCAGTTACTCAGGAGGCTGAGGCGGGAGAATTGCCTGAACCCAGGAGGAGGACGTTGTGGTGAGCCGAGATCACGCCATTGCACTCCAGCCTGGGTAACAAGAGCAAAACTCTGTCTCAAAAAAAAAAAAAAAATATATATATATATATATATATAGCCTGTTTTTGTTTCCTACCCTGATTATCAGTAACAAGAAAGAAAGTCTTTTGTGCCAGGTACGATGACTCATGCCTATCACCTCAGCACTTTGGGAGGCCAGTGCAGGAGGGTTGCTTGAGCCCAGGAGTTTGATGCTGCCATGGGGTAGGACTGCACCACTGTACTCCAGCCCGGGCAACAAAGACCCTGACTCAAAAAAAGAGAAAGTCTCTTTGATAGGGGAGGGCCTGGAGACTGGGCAGAATGACAATGGATATCCCTCTCAGCCAACAGTTAAGATTACCCCTTAATCTTAAAATCACGGAAGTAATGATGTTTTAATGAGCACTAAAATTGCAGAATGCTTAAAATGTAGAAAAGAATAGCATCCTCTATCAATGGGGGTATTAGCATGGCTAGGTCTGTGAAGCCAAGGGGGCATTCCAATTCCAATGTAGCCAGCTGGCAAATGTCCAGGAGAGAGACTCTGCATTTGGTGGACACTGATGTCCCAGCATCCCATAGAGACCAGGACCTTACTGCTCTAAGGTCACTGAATATGAGGAAGCAAAAAGAGGTACAGACACCCCAAGTTTAGGAACAAAGTCAGTCACAGTCATAGAGAGGGCTGATCTGCCCAGAGTCTTGCCCTTTGAGTAGCCCCTTCCCAATCTTCCTAGCCATGAGACGGGAAAGATGAGAAACACTTGGAAGCCCTTTTAAAAGCCAGCACACTGTGACTGGCGTTGATGCCAAGTAGAGGAGAGAAGGAGGGTTTTTCTAAGATTTTTTTAAAGTACTCTATAAGAGGGAGAGAGAAAAAAAGACTATTTCTGAAGTGAAAACCTCTTCTTGTGAACTCTATTTTCCAGAAAACTAGGAGCTGATAGGACATTTCCAGAAACAAACAAAAACATTCTCAGGGGAAATTTATCCTGGGTGAGAAAAACAGCTCAAGAAATTAAATTCTGTCCTGCCAGGGTAGTAAAAATAAACACGCAGACAGCCCTAAAGACATGTTTTCCAGCCAGGCACATCAGAACAATCAGGCAGAAGGCTTCTGGAGAAAGAGGAAGCACAAACCCACCGAAGAGAACTACCCCAGGCACCGAGTACCACAGAAGCACCAAACCCTGCCTCCAAATCCTGACAAGGTGACTGGAAACAGGCAGGCGGAGGAAGCCAGACAGCTCTGAGGGATGAACCTATCTACGGAGCAATCAAAATGAAACCAGAGCGAACAGGGCTGTCTCTCTGATGGGCCCCATGACTAGCCTCGTGGCTCAGGGACAGAGGCTGCGCAGTGATGCAGGAAGGCTGAGTCCTCACCATCCTTTCCAGGGGGCTGGGAATCTGCGCAGCCTTGTCCAGGAGCTCGCTGTACTCCAGCTCCTCGCAGAGCCTCTGCAGCGTGTTGAGGGGCTCGTTCAGCTCCACAGGCATGGCCACCTTGGACAGGTCCTTCCCGATGTTGTTCCTCAGGATGTTCCACAGGCTGATGTTGCTGCTGCCCGGGCAGGGTGCTGGCAGGCACGTTCTTCTCTGGGACTTTGCTTCTCCACCACTTTCAAGGGCAGGCCCTGAGAGGAAAAGAGGCCTGGTTGTCTCTAAAAGCTTTTCATCTTAGTCTATTATTTTTAATCCATGAATAAAACCTTACCTAGCAAGTACTCTATGTTACTATTAAACTCAGTTGTCCAGAGTATGACTGGAAGTCAGAAAATCAGCAAAAGAATTCTGAGCAATTAAATACCAAAAATTACACACACTAAAACCCATCGACTTTATTCACAGAAAAGACCTCGAGCTGTTTCTCAAAACCTAGTTCCTTGTAGCTCATACATGTTTACAATAAAACTGGAAATTGGATTTTTATGCCTACAGTTGCTTATTGTTTATAACAACTTATAAACTTTTTAAAAAATCACTTTAAATTTTGGTAAAAACAATTGTGTTGAGTACAGAAAAATTATAAAGGAAATAATGGTCATTTCATTGCTCTACCGCCCCAAAATAGCAGCCATTTATATATTGGGGTATCTTCATTTTGTGTTTTCTCCATCTGGGTTGTTCATACTGTATGCATATTTTATATTCTGCTTGTTCAGCTAACAGAGTATTTTTCCATGTTACTTAAAATTTTTCTAAAACATCAGTTTTTGTTCAATATCACTAATTATTAGAGAAATGCAAATCAAAACCACAATGAGATATCATCTCATACCAGTCAAAACGACAATTATTAAAAAGTCAAAAAATAACATGCTGGTGAGGTTGCAGAGAAAGGCAACACTTATATGCTGCTGGTGGGAATGTAAATTAGCTCAGCCATTGGGGAAAGCAGTTTGGCAATTTCTCAAAGACCTTAAAACAGAGCTGCTATTCAACTCAGCCACCCCGTTATTGACTATAGATCCAAAGGAATATATTTTGTTCTACTGTAAAGACACATGCACATGTATGTTCATCACAGTACTATTCCCAATCACAAAGACATGGAATTAGTTTAAATGCCTATCCACAGTAGACTAGATCAAGAAAATGTGGTACATATGCACCATGGAATACTGTGCAGGCATAAAAAAGAATGGGATCATATCCTTTGCAGCAACATAGATGGAGCTGGAGGCCGTTTATCCTCAGCAAACTAACACAGGAAGAGAAAACCACAGTGTATGTTCTCACTTATAAAGGGGTGTAAACATTGGGTTCACATGAACATAAAAGGGGAATGAAAGACACCAGGGCCTACTGGAATGTGGAGATAGGTAGAGGGTGAGGATCAAAAACTTACCTATTTGGGTGCTATGCTTATTACCTTGATGATGAAATAATCTGTACAGTAAACTACTGTGACATGCAATTTACCTGTATAACAAGCCTGTGCATGTACCCCGAACCTAAGAGTTTTTAAAAAAAATCATTTTTAATGACCATAAAAATATTTTTTGCCTGTATCTTTATTTTCTTAGGATACAGAGAAGTGGGATTACTATGTCAACAACTATGAATGTTGTTACACTTTTGATTCACATGATCGACTGCTTTTCAAAAAGGCAGTCCCAGCTTCCCCATTTATCAGCCACAGATGTGAGCATCCATCTCCTGAGGCCTCTTTGGGCTTGTCATTTTTCATTTTTAATTTCTGTCAAATTATCAGGTGGATAGTCCAATCTCCTTGTTTTAGCTTATATTTTAAACATTTCCTGTGCAGTTTGGAATGCTTTCATGAGTACTTCTTTGCTGAATTGTCTGCCTTCCTATGTGTGTATTAAGACCATACTCTTTTGTTTCTATATTTGTTTTACAGTTTAATCCCCATTTGGCATTTACCTTTAAATTTGGTCCATGGAGTATTTTGATGAATGACACACATTTTAGGTATGTCAATCTATCAATCTTTTCCTTCATTTTATGCTCGGAAATTCCTATCCTGCATTGTGCCTGTTTTCAAATGAAATCTCTTACATTTTACCAACATACTTTATTATTTTTATTAAACATATATATATATATATATATATATATGTAACATTTACTTATTATAAAGCCAATCACTGAATAAAGAGGCTGCTCTGATGAACAGAAACATATGAAAACAGGGTCACACTGTGCGTCACATGTTAATCTAGTCATCCAATTAATTTTTAAATTTGTTTTGCTTTTTTAAAATTAAATTAAATTTTTTTTTTGAGACAGAGTCTTGGTCTGTTTCCCATGCTGGAGTACAGTGGCACAATCTCAGCTCACTGCAATCTCAGCTCATTGAGGCGGAGGCCTCAATGGCTCAAGCAATCCTCCTGCCTCAGCCTCCCAAGTAGCTGTGACCACAGATGTATACCACCATGCCCAGCTAACTCTTCTGTGTTTTTGTAGAGATGGTGTTTTACTATGTTGCCAAGGCTGATCTAAAACTCCTCAGCTCAAGTGATCAGCCCACCTCCTCCTCCTGAAGTCCCGGGATTACAGGTGTGAGCTACCATGTCCAGCCTGTTTTAGTTGCTTAAGACGGGTAATTACAACATAGGTAAATAGCTGCAAATGGCAGTTTTAAAATTAATTAATTATTGAGATAGGGTCTTTCTCAACAGGGTCACTCAGACTGGAGTGCAGTGGTGTGATCATAGCTCACTATAACCTTGAACTCCTGGGCCTAAACAATCCTCCCACCTCAGTCTCCTGAGTAGCTCATACTACAGACATGCTACACCACGCCTGGCTAGTTTTTGTATCTTTTTTTAGAGATAGAGTCTTGCTGTATTGCTCAGGCTAGTCCCAAACTCCTCACCCAAAGCAATCCTTCTGCCTCAGCCTCCAAAAGTGTTGGAGTTATAGGTGTGAGCCACTGCACCTTGCCTGCACTCATTTTTGAAAACAGCTTTTCATGTAGTCTCAAAAAATGTTCAATTACGCTGATCTAAGTTTTGAAAGAGTGCTACTCCATCGCCATCATCACCACCAATACTACTAACAGCTAACACATATCTTGCATTTTACTCTGTGACAGGCAGTCTTCTAAGCATTTTACATGCATTATTCCCACTTATCCTTTGTAACCATCACTTGTGGTAAACAGTATTATTATCCTCATTTCACAGATGAAGAAAATGAGGCACACAGAAGGTAAGTATCTGCTCCTAGAACACACAACCACTGAGCGGTAGAGCTGGGGCTAGCCAAGGAAGTCTGGTCCCTTAATCCATATTAGGCCCTAATATGTGCCCCGCAACATTTCTGGGAAGATATTAATAGGAAACACTCTAAAAACCCCATGTTTACTATAAACTCAAAGAATAATAGTGTATCAAGCCCCTGGTCCTCTCCTGTTGCCTAACATAGGCAAAAAGATGCTATAAAATATAAACATTACTTCTGTATCCAATCTTTTCAGTCGAGTATTGGTGCTTAGAAATACAATCTCCCTGGCCGGGCGTGGTGGCTCACGCCTGTAATCTCAGCACTTTGGGAGGCCGAGGCGGGTGGATCACGAGGTCAAGAGATTGAGACCATCCTGGTCAACACGGTGAAGCGCCGTCTCTACTAAAACTACAAAAAATTAGCTGGGCATGGTGGCACGTGCCTGTAATCCCAGCTACTCAGGAGGCTGAGGCAGGAGAATTGCCTGAACCCAGGAGGCGAAGGTTGCGGTGAGC